TTGCTGGGAGGGAGGGGCCCAAAACTGACCCCAGGATTTGCGGTGTGGCCTCCCCAGTGCCCTGCCCACTGCCCTGATCCTGCTGGCCACACCAGTGCTGACTCAAGCCAGGATCAAACACACTCTGACCTTCACCATCCGACTGTCCCTCCTCTTGTCAGGCAGCCCAGTCATGAAGGTGAGCTCTGGCACGAGCAGCACCACGTCCAGCTGGCCCTGAAGGGGGGCACAGGCACCATCAGCACCCCGAGGGGGCTGGGACAGAGCTGAGAAGAGACCACAGGTCTCAGCTCTCTCCTCCCAGCTCACCTTCCCCCACGGCATCTGTTTCTCCTTGGGCCTGTGGACGAGCAGTGGCTGATCCAGCTCCCTGATGGTGATCCCATAAGTTTTGCTGGAGAAATCAACAGGGAGATGACACCAAGTGAGACCTTCCTCCCGCTCACCCCCCCTCGGGTCAGAACCAGGCTGTCAAACCCTTCCCAACAGCCAGCCCTTCCTCCCAAAGGCTGCTCCAGCACCTCTCTACCTGTAGTAGTCCACGAAGGTGATCTCCTGGCCGTTGGCCAGGGTGAAGGTGTCCCTGGGGGTCTTGTCCCAGTCGACGTCGTCGAGGCGGTAGGTGCGGTTGTTGTAGCGGGTGATGACCACGCTGCCCACCAGCTGCTTGCTGCACTCGTCCTGGAAGCTGCCCACGCTCTGCTTGTAGATATTCTGCCTGTAGAGTGAGAAAGAGACACTCAGGGATGCTCCCTGCCTGTGCAAACCCCCCCCCAAAAAGAAAAAAACCAACCCCCTTGTCCCCAAACAACACCGGTGCCCACCCGCGCGCCGGCGCCAGGCAGGAGGAAGGAAATTCACCCTCCCCCTAAACCCCCCTCGGGGCTCCTCTGAGGTTTTCCCCCCCTCTCTCCCCTTTTCTTACATGAAGCTGAGGACAGTCTCGCTGCGGATGATCTTATGGATGGCATCCACCAAGAGGAAGAGGCCCCCGTCCCTCCTGCGGATGCTGGATCTGCACCCTGTGAGAGTGGTCCCAGCAGTGCAGGGGTTAAACCCGGCCCTGCTGGAGGAGCCCGGGGCTCCAAAACACTCGGGGATTTCTTGCCAGAGTTGGCTGCCAGCTTTTAGGAATAACCCCTGAGCTGTGCTGCAGAAAACAGGCCAAGCAAGGCTGGCCAAGAGGGCTGACCTGGCACAGGATTCCCAAATTCCACCCTCAGGGGTGGCCCCAACTCGCTCCCCCCAGGCTCAGGGGGGAGGAGAACGTGCCCAGCACCCACCTGTAGTGATGTAACACAACAGCCTGGTCAGGCTCAAAGAAATTCCTCCCAATAAGCTTCATATCTAAGGCTCTCATTGC